CCATGAGTCATGCAAGCTAAGCCCAACAGCAGCTCAACCTCATTGTAAAGGACACTACAGTTGCATCATTTTAGCCGGAGGGGAGTGATATGTGCATAGGTTTTACATGGAGATTTTTCTATTCAGGGTATTTTGTTGCTGTGACAGATTTTATGTAATTGAGGATGTCTGGTGACAGGGAACCAGGACAGGTTTGGGCTGTGCATTTTTGCATTAATATATGTTAATTACCCTATACTATATTTATGTGTTTTGTAATTAAATAACAGGAATATCAGTTCTGCTAGAATGACTATAGACTCTTTCAATTTTATCCTGAGTGAAATATACATGCAATATAGACACCCCTTATCACACAGAACTGGTGTGGAAATGGTACATAGCTGCATAGATATACTGTGCCTCTCTCTGCACAGCCTGTTGTATCCTACATTATGTATGAAAGTGCTACCTCCTTAGTAGCTGTTCTAGAGTTACCTTTCTGTGCCCTGAAATACTGGTAGAAAGAAGTGTTAACGCCTTTGATTTACAGATGCATAAAATTGGATTTTACATGTGCTTGGTGGTTCTTCAAGATGAATACAGAGGAGCAGCACTAAAGTACAGGAGCTAAGTCATCTGGCTGCTGAGCAGGTAAAGGAGACAGACAGTGCCAGAGCAGTTGTGTGGTTGTGATATGGGTGGGTTCCAAAACTCTAGGAGAAGAAGGGAAATTTCTCCCTATATGGAGGGCGATTCTGCCTCGTGGCCACCAGCAGCGTCCCCCACCTCTGTTTTCCAGATGAGCTGAAGGAGTGTCTTGCGACTCGCATGTGAGATGCTGTGAGAGTTGTCTTCCACTGGGAAGGGTGAGTTGGACACCCTTGAGTTGCGACTAGGACATTACTCTTCAGCCTTTCCTATGTTAAGAACTGTATTTTTAGAATATATATTTTTTGTTAATTTTTGCTATGGAGAAAAGGCTAAATATGTATACTACGGATGTAGTAATGTGATCCCAGTGGCCAACAGAATTAGCTTTGCTGCTGCTGTAAAGTCCTAATTCAGATTCTTAGTGATGCCCATGGAAGTCCAAACTTCTTACTTATTGTGGAAAATAAGAACAAAATGAGCAAAACAACAACTGAAACATCTTCTAAAGGGCTTAGATGAGTTATTCTGTGTTCTGAAATAAGATCATTTACTGGGGAACTCTAATACTGAAACAATAAAGCACTGAATAGGGTTAAGTATGCTCCTAGTTATCACTTCCAGAATCAGAGTTATTTTATGGGAGGGTAGTCTGACCTAAAAAGTCAGCAATTAAGGTCCTGTTTAGGACATTGTACAAATAGAAAACCTCCCTGGCCTTTAGACTTTTGCGCCTTTCTACTCCTCTGTATCTAATATTCAGGATTAATGACTGGCAGTTCCATACACAAATTTTGGTAAATTTCTTGGTGCTGAGGAACATTGCTGAGAGCAGTATTCAAGTGTGTTTTTGTGAGTAGCTGCTGAAAGGAAAGTCTGTTGCATAGCACCTAGATGTTAAAGAAATGTAGGCCTAGCACTCTCATATATCTGTTATAAAGGTAAATGCAGGGGTGACTAACAAATACTTCACAATGAATAAACACAACAACTTCATAGTATGTCCATATGTTCAGCTACCCACTAGACCCTTTGAGAGGGGCATAAAGCAAATACATACTTGCATGCTGATGCACCCATGTGGAGACTCACTTCACTGTTCCTGTAGTCTGTGTGATCATATTATTCTATTCAAATGAGGTCTAAAATAGTGCAAAAATCACTGGGGCCCTGTACCTCATACACTCTGCACAAGTGCAGTCCAGAAACTGCCTCTTTCTCCTACCTTTAGTCACCTGGGCTTAGCAGTGAAGAACACACAAGACTTTGTAAGAAATCAATGAACAGACCTTAACCAGATATGATCTCTTTAACTTCATCTCAGCAGATAGAATATGGGCGTAATATGATAGGAATACAGAGATTTCAAAAGTATTCATTGGGAATTATTAGAAAGAGAGTTATGCAGATTGTTTTGATCATACATTATTTGTCAGAAATGAGCTTTTGAGAACACTAAAATGGTTCATCATCTCTATTTGTTCGAGCTTAAAAATGAACCAAGCTCAGAAACCCAAACCATGGAAAAATATCAAAAATATTTTAAACAATAATTTGCCAGTTAAGTAAAAGCATAAAAGAAAAACTGTATTAATCGCACAAAAATATTTTTTTTGTTTGTCCTGAAAATAAAAAATGTGCAGAAAAATATTCAGGTCATTCTGAATACAACAGTGGTAAGCTATGGTTAGGCTAAGTGACTGATCTACTGAGCCAGAGCTCAGCAATGAATTAAACATTTGTGATAATATAGCAGTCAATTATTAATTTTAATGAATAAGGTAACCTTAATATACTAGGGGATACTGTGGCTAGAGGGAAACTTTACAAAGGCACTTCCCAAACAGTGTCGCAGCCATCAGTGAAGAAGAAAACTGACCTAACTTATGCCAGACAATTTGACTACAGCTGGAGCAACACAAAACTTCAGTCTAAAATATTTTCTTATATTTAAAATGTGTCAGGTGACTAAATGTAACTGGTTGTGGCATCTAACCACAAACATGCAAAGATCTGTTTGCTAGCAATTCATCTCTCCCCACCACTGAAGGGCACCTGAGTGAAGAAGCTGTGTTAGAAGTTCTACAGAAATGTATAGATTATATGCAGTGGTGTACCAAATACATTGTTTCTAAACTTGCTGGACTCCACAGGAACAGTTCTTATTTCATAGAAAAGCCTGTAAGGGTCTGAAACTTCATTAGCATGATGCACCGAATTTGAAGGAGTTAAGGGCAGAGTCAATGACAGGAAAGAGCACTAGGACTGTCAGCACATGGAAGGGAGAAGGAAGGGAACATTTAAGATTCATCTGGAACAGCAGATCCAGTGCAGACATCACTTCCTTGCAGCAGGAGTCAGAAGGGAAAAACAAAACAGTATTGTAGACAAGAAACCAGGAACTGGGATAACTCCAGAAAGATGGAAAGACTTCTTCCCCAAATTTATCCCCACTGCCAAGAAAAAGGCAGCTTCCAAAGTGCTTATTTGATTTGAATAGAGACTTCGTAAGTGGATCAGAAGCCAGGGATAGTAAATTGTAATCACAAGCTCATGAGCAGAGAATGCCCCATTGCTGCTATTCTGGCTTCTGGTCCTTCCCCACAGCTAGGTTCTTGCCTGCAAATGGGTCCTGTAGGTAGGTCTTGTGGGCTGCTCCTTCGGCTTGCCTGCATATTGGGTTCTGTAGGCAGGTCCTTCTGCCTGCCTGCAGTCTGGGTCCTGTGGGTAGCTTCTGCTGTTTGCCTGTGGGAAACAGTCTGGTTTTTGTTGTTTTGGTTTTTTTGGCTTTTTTTTTTTTTTATTAACCAGGCAAATCCCTTTTACTTCTATCCTGACCTTCCCCAGCCAGGGTTGAAAGACACCACAATCACACCCAAACAGAGCAAACTAAACTAAGGCAGATCTGATAGAATGTGTGACAATTACCCAAACTGATAAAGTGTCAAACAAGTCCAAAAACAAGCAACTGGAAGCAGACGATGTATAGTTTTCAGAGCTTTAGCTGTTTTATTGTCTTTGTGGGGCAAATATTTCCTCTAAGGCTATGTAACTGATACAGACAAGCCCCTCCTTACATAATTCTGCTGAGCTGCAAAAGTTGAGCTGTCTGGCTGCTTGGTAATGTCTTCAGTAGATTAAAAACTGGATATGTGTGTGTGTGTGAGAGGCAATAACCACAAATACAAAAGGAATTTTGAAAAAAGTTTTCATAATTTTCTGGCCTGTTTGCACACTTACTTATTCTGTAATGAAGTTAACTAAACAAACAAAAAAAGTAAATCTCTACCTTCTATGAATCTTTGGGCATTCCCAGCCAAAGGAATACAGCGAGCTCCTTTTCCACCACAGAGGACCACTCATCTATCATGACTGAGTGCTTCTGAAATCTTGTTCATTTATTTCAGACGTGGCATCAAATTGAGTCAAAATATGCGGATGTTACGCCACAACATGATGCTTCGACATCACTGTGCACTGCTGCAACATTGAGACAAAATGATGCCAATTTGTGGCAAATGATGCCAATGTGTGGTCCCATGGAGGAGAGGGGAGTGTGAAGAGTGGTATCCTACTGTCTCCTAAATTTAGCTGTCAGACAGTCTGGAATGCCTACAGTGGTATGAATAAAAAAATTGACTATGCTGACGCTTACAATTTATTGTCAGCACTTACAGTCAGTTCCATGTCTTCCTCATCTTTTTCTTTCACTGGCTTCTCTGGCTCCTCTGGCTCCTTTTCTTGAAGATGGATCTCACTGGCCTGGGACATGTAGGGCATATCATCTTTGTTCTTGAACTCCAAGCTGAGGATTGAAGGAGGAAGTAGAATTCCTAGAATTACCTAAAGCAATAATAATGATAATAATAATAATCATCACAGAAAACAGATTGCAGTCATAATGGTTTCTTAGTATCAAATGGAACAACTCCCTCAGGACATTTAGGAAAAGAAAGATATGTGTGTATGTGAGTTTCTATGACAATAGTGTATTTTTCTTTTGGGGTAATGTTATTAGAGTAGTGAAGAAAAGCATGTAGCTTCTATTAATGTTGCTGTGAATGCTCTTGAATATTTTTTCTGTTTGTTCATCAGATGTGCATTGCTACATGTCAAAACATATTTACAAAATATTATGAGGTGAATGATATGTGGGATCATGTGGATGTTCAGACCTCAGATATAAAATTTCTGCATCTTGCATAATAGAAAATACCAATGTAAATGACACACAAGCAATATTAATTTCTAGATAGAGGGTTAATAGGTTTCAGGCTCTCTGTGCCCATGCTTAATGTACACAGGTAATCAAAGTCTAAGTGTGTGTATCTGAGGAGATAAGGCATAGCCAGCAACAGCAAATGCTGGTGTGCTTAGGTATTGTGTCCACTTATATTTTGCTTTAGTAATCAGGCAGCTATGTAAAGATCATGTTAATGCCAACTATTTTTTTCCTGCCTTCCTTCTCTTATGTTGTGGGAGCATAAAACCCACTAGAATAACCTTGTGTGGATATATAAGTAATGAACAGTGCTTAGTAGAAATCATTAGTAGAACTGAATAGATATCATAATAATAGAAGTAGCCTGTCTGTATTCACAAGCACAGGAACTTTTCCTGGTCACACTGTAACCTCGTGGAAAATGGTTTTGTTATAAATGTCTCTAAATGGCACTGAAACCAGATAGTTTGCTTGTTAGCAGGGCAGGGAGGGTGACTGCTGTGCTCTTTGTACTGACAGACAGCCTGAGTGTTGTTGAAACCATTCAAAGCATACAATTAGGAGCAGTTAGCATCTATGAATGCTGTTCCCAGAGTCAGGACAGCCGATCACCAGGCTTCCTACACTACTCCTGCACTCAGCTTGTTGCAAAAGGGTGTGTCCAGGAAGAGGAAGTTATAGCCAGACCTGCCTTCACAGAGAGGCTATTTTTAAGAACATGCAGGATTAACAATTGCCTCTACCCCTCCCGTTGGTGCTATACACCCCCCGGCAAACAAAAACAATTACATTTGGTCTTCCTACCATTTGTCAGTTGTGACAGGAGAAAATTGTTCATGGGAAATACACTATAACTCATGCTTGCAAATGTATTTCTTTGCCATGCTGACTGTTGCTCATGTACCTTGTAGCCTACTATAGCTTTAAACAGGCCCTGCTAATGAGCTTCAGTGAAATAAAACACAGACTAGAAACTGAGTAAAAGATCCTCGTGAAGCCCTGACACTCCAGGAAAGGAAACAGAGCCTGTTACCTTCAGATATTCATTACAAAAGAAACGGGTATTTTGTGGCTTAAAAGGTGCATGCTGAAAAGGGGAATGCATATAGTGAAAAACAAGTTGTTGCACTGTTATCTGCAAAGCCAAACAGTGAACAAAGCAGCTGTCCTGAATGGCAATGGGCCTGTGAGCTAAGTCAGAAAATATGTAGTAAAAATGCCTCCAAATCTGAGAATGTTTTCTGTCTCTAGCAGAACATATATGCACAGGTCCTCCAGGGGGATGATGAGAATGCTATCAGCCACTTGTTCTCATTCTTCACTGTCACTCCAGACCCAGTATAATAGTGATACATATACTCATAAGCATTCTTGCCATTACTGAGGATAGCAAAACAACTAAGCAATTATCATTTTTCATACACACAGTTAGTGCAGGAGAGAGAATCCCTTCACTGAAAATATTTCTCAGAGATCTGGGAAGAAGATGCAATTCCTGGTTATGTTCTAATGGATGAGTACTTTGGTGAAGGTGAAACGTATCAACCAATGGACACAAATTCCTCTCCCAGAATTCACCCTGCCCTCTTAGTAGTTTTGCCAACTGTGGAAGTCAAACTTAAAAAATGGATGATCCTCTAGATCCTCTAAGGTAGCTCCTTCAGGTCAGTCATTATGAAGACTGGCAAAGGATTACAAAAAATTTGTGCTGCTTGCTTTGGCCTGTTTTGGGAAAGGTCAGTACCTTTCACTAGCGGTTAGTTCACCTACACGTCCTTTCTTATTTAGCTCTAAAACCCTTAGTTAACTCCTCAAGTATACAAGCAGGGTGACATACTAACCTCCTGGTTCAATTCTTTTTCTGATAACTGATGCCAGAAGGGGCTTTGAGAAAGAGAATGAAAAAACTAAGTATGGTGCTTTGAACTTAGGTTTGTGATAATCCTGCCACTGAAAAACTGAACACAGAAAGAATATACTCTGCTTAATATCACTGCAAATAAGCACCTGAAATACAGTTGAGACAGTCACCACTGATTTGTTGTGAGGTCCTCTCACCTTCTATTAGAACCCTTCAGATGTTAATTTCGTTTTAAAACAGCACTGACCTTTAGGCCAGAATTTTTGCGCATCCGCAGACGACCCATCCACATGTCTGTGAGCAGCATTTGGCTGCAAGTGTGAGCAATGAAATCCCTGTGCTTGGCTGCCACTGCAAGCTGCAGGCACGTGGCGTTGCTCCAGTTCTTCAACTCATAGGTCAGCAGTTTCATTGCCAGTTGCTCATCCTGCTTGTACGACTGGTCCAACAGCTCTACCGCCAACTGGCCGAAGTCCCTGCAACAGAGGGATATCCGTTCATTCCTGTTAGCCCACATAGCCTGCTGCCGAAAACACCTCTGCAACTGACAGCTGCTGCAAGGGGAGCACCACCTTCCATCACACAAATTGTCATGAGGACTGTACACATGAAAATCCACATTTTCAAATGGCAGTGCCTAATGTCAGGCATATAAATAAGTGCACTGACTTAGCAGTGATGAGCACTCACACCTACCAGTTGTCTGCTCCCACCTCCCTGACATTTTCTAGCTGAAATCCTCTGGTAATCTGCAGCTTAAAGGATTGCTTCTGTGCTGTTTGCCCACACCTTCATGGTCAAGACTCCTGGAAAAAGGAGTGTCCAATACTTTTTTTAAATTCTCTGCCTCTGACTTTTAACATCAGGAAATATTCTTATGGAATATAGTATGTTGCCTTGCACACCTAAGCATGAGCTTTGCCCAGATAGTATGTTCATAAGGATTACAGCAACTGCTCTGTTTGGTAGGAACAGTGTCTTGAAAAAGCACAGAGAATTGTTGCAGCCTGACTTTTGAGGCCTCAGGGTGAACATAGAAACAATATAGATATTTCATTTCCTTCTTGACACTTTCTCATTTCAGAAGTTGTACTGCTAGCAACTTTGCTATTCTGGCAGATTATTTAAAGGCCATTTAGATTTTCTCTAAAGGCACTGCATTTTCCCTAAAACTTAGAAATGAAAGCAAGATACAGATAAGAAAACTTTAGACAGTTCAGCACCTCTTTTCCTTCATCTTTTTTCTTTTCTTCCCCCTCTTAGGAAAGTGTACACGAAAGGAAATTCACCTGGAATTATGGTTCAGCTCTTGGGATATGTCATCCACCATGTCGTTTTCTGATGCTTCATGGGCCATGGCTTTGCAGAGCTTACAGGCCACCAGTGCTTTAGCCATAGCTTCTTCCCCATGCTGCCAAAAGAAGAGGGCCATCTTCTGACGTTTCATCAGCACAGCCCACACCATCAACTCATGGAATGGAAAGGGAAAGTGATTGATCTCAGGGTCATCCATATCAATATCAATTTCTTCTTCTTTTTTCTTTGCTGTTTTCCTCCCTCGTCGCAAAGGGACATCATCCTGTGAGAATAGTAGAGAATTTTTTTTACCAGTGAAGGAACTGAATCAATTTACACAGTTAACTGAAGTCAGTACCTGAGATGTCAAACACATTTTCTGCAGGCCAGCCCCTTCATCTTTTTTTGAACAAAATATTTAACAGAAGTAAATGATGGAAAAAGTATTGGTGCATGTGCTGTAATGAAGAAGTCAGCAACCCCATACATAAACACAGGGGAAAAGTGCCTTGGACTGTTGCTCTGAATTGTTCTTTCTCCCAAATAACACAGAGCACAATCACAGAATATCCAGAACCATTTTGGAAAAGTCACTATTAAAATAAAGCTAAGAGTTCCCTCCAAATATAACATCTGCTGTAATGCATCTGCCTCATTTCACCTCCCGAAAGTACATGCCAGGGAATGCCCTGGTCTGCTGAAGACTCCCGCCCTGCTTATTATTCTTGTGCTTTCTCTCTTTATCTTCTTAAAAGGAGAGTAATCTCCCTTCAATCCTATTCTGCTACTGTATCCTGTTGCATTAAATAAACAAACAAGAAAACACCACTATCTCCTTGAAGAATCAGGGTAGCCAAAATGCCACCAAAACTAATGTAACTTTGGCCTGTGTAGAGATTTCTGCATCATTCTATGCGTGTTTCATTTCTCCGAACATGTTTTGAAGTTATATAACTATCTGACTGAAATTCTGCTTGGCAGAGCCCTCTTTTACCTTGTGCATTAAATAAACAAACAAGAAAACACCACTATCTCCTTGAAGAATCAGGGTAGCCAAAATGCCACCAAAACTAATGTAACTTTGGCCTGTGTAGAGATTTCTGCATCATTCTATGCGTGTTTCATTTCTCCGAACATGTTTTGAAGTTATATAACTATCTGACTGAAATTCTGCTTGGCAGAGCCCTCTTTTACCTTGTCTTGTTACCTTTGTGTAAACAAGTTATCTGGATGAAAAATACAATTCATGCGTTCATTACAGTGAATGTAAACATTATTTTGATATAACATATATTTGTCAAAGCAGGAAAAGACATTAAGATTTATCATATGTTGCGTACCTCCATACCCAAGAGTTTCAGGGCTTTAGGCTGTAGAAAATAAGTTAGAAAAATGTTATTTCTCCTAGAAGAGTGATTAAAAATTGCAACTATATGTGTATACATATCTACATATGTACACATGCATGTAATGTGATATATAATATAGAATATAATGTAGATAATATATATGTAATGCAATGTAATAGACTAAAATATGCATACATACAACAATCAAATTATTACACATATATAGATATTTCAAGCTTGAGTTTGACCATATTTCACAAAAAAACAACAGAAGACATACATTTGGATTCAAATACAAATTACATCTGGTTAGGGGCTCTTCTAGTGGGTGAAAGATACGAATTGCTCATTAGGCATGAATGGATTTCTCTGGAGCACATCAGTGTTTTGGCCATTGCCCTGGCACACTTCTATTGACTGTTGTGGAGTTGCTCTGTGTGTTGGTTCAGTATCTGTGAGATCCCTACTAAAATGCCTTTCTTGGAGTGACTTGGGGAGGGAAGTCTCTTCCAGCAGCTGCTAATACTGTCTTCTCTTTCAAACATGAAGAATGAAAGTGT